TTTATAGATAAAGGATTTTATAAGGATCTAATAGTTATATATATTTTTATATTTATTTTAACCTGTTTTCTGTTGCTATAACAAAATACTGAAACTGAGTAATATGTAAAAAAGTTGAGGTTTATTTAGTTCACCAGTTCTGAAGACTGAGAAGTCCAAGAGCATGGTATTGCCATCACATTGTGAGACAGTGAGTGTTCTAACATGGGTCTCTCTTCCTCTTCTCGTAAAGTCATTGTGGGACTTCACCATTGTGACCTCATAGTAATCCTAATTACTTCACAAAGACCCTGCCTCCAGATACTCAATATAAAGTTGGGGATTAGGTTTCTGACACATGAACCTTTGGCAGACACATTCAACATAGAAACCAACTCAGTCATCCTGCCAAGCTTAACTTTGTCTTACTCCAAAACTCAGTGTAACTTTGTTTTTTTGTAGTTAAATCATTATCCTTTATCATCTCTTATTAGAGTTTGAGAAATACCATGTTGATTATTTAAACAAATAATTTTACATATTATGTTTTGATTTGGATTTTAATTCTGAATCCAAAGAGAACATATAGATTATTCATAAACATGTACATGAAGATTGAACATCCTTAACACAAAGTCGGAAGTGCCCCACAATCCAAAGATTTTGAGTACCTACATGACACCACAAGTGAAACATTTCATAACTGTCCTCATGTGATGAGTCATAGTCAAAACAATAGTATACTAAGAATACCATATTAAATGACCTTTAAGCTATGTGAATAAAACAAATGAATTTCATGATTAGACTTGAGTCTCATATCTAAGATACTTCATTAAATATATGCAAATATTCAGAAGTCCAAATATTTCTAAAATCTGAAACCCTTCTGATTCTAAGCATTTCAGATAAAAGATACTCAATGTGTATATGCTTAACATATACAGGGAACTTTACAATCCTATATGACTTTTTCCAAAACATGTTTTATTTTATTACAAAAAAAATTTTTTTAAATTTTACAGTGATCACACATCTATGCATTCCATGTATTTGTTTTATTACATGTCTGTTTTCATTCCTTTGTGCCTTCATCAGTCCATCTTCAATACTTTTCACTTCTAAATATTTCAGCATGTACACTATTAGCTCTTCAGTATAAAATACTGCTTTATATTCCCATTAGTGAT